GTGTTACATATGTTCTGCAAGGCAAAACCTGAGCCTCTGGCAACTCTGTGCCAAAGTGCCTAAGAAAGAACAGCATGGGCAAGGGAGAGGAGAAAGGCAGTGTACACAGAAGACCCAGATAGTTTTGGAAGCAGGCATTCTGTGCTGCAGAAGATAAGCCTCTGAGGAGACTGCAGCCTGTGGAAAGCACACTGGATCTCAAGATGGGCTTCCAGTACATATTACCAAACTGCAAATCTACTGCCAAGCAAATAATTAGATAATTGCCTAACCTATTTTTGAGGTTTCTAATTAATGTAGCACAGATCATTTCTTCTCACCCAAAACGTTAAAATTAATCTGTGAGGCTGGCGTGAATGAGAAGGCCAGGAGAAAAAAGAGCTGGATCTCAGTGTACTGCAGAACTCACCAGGCTTCTTGAGTCCTATAACTTCACAGCAAAATTGAGAGGCTTTCAAGTCAGAAAAGGGGAAAGGAAGGATGCACTAAAGCAAGGTTTTCCTTGGAGAACATTTAAGCTCTTGGCAGGGCAACATATCATAATTTTAATGATAGGGTTTTTATAACCTGCAACTTTAAAACAGAATTAAGAAGCTGTGGCCCAAGGAAGCTAGAGTTGCAAACGCACTTTACCATCAGGAAAGAAAATGTGTAAGTATATCAGTTTTCTAAGATATTAGAATCACTATCTTCTATGAGGCAAATTGTGACAAAATATCCCAGTAATGAGCTAAAAGGTCCAGGCATTTCTCTCAACAATTTTTAGAAGCAAAAAAATAAAAGAAAGACAAAACAAAACCAACAACCAACTAACTGTTTGTTGTCCATTATTTGGTATTGAAACATGAGAATTTGACTAGCTCTGTGCAAGCGGTTGCACACCAAACTCTGTCATTGTGATGGCTTTCTTACAGGCTTCTGAAACGTATTCTGAGTTGTAACATGCTGGAGAGAAAATACTATTCTCACTCTGATCTTTTTTATACAAACCAGTAGAATGAATGGCCTCTTGAACCCAAACTGAATTGTGCCAGCAGTCCTATTTGATTGTATGTTGGCCAGTCTTTGTGGCAGAGAGATAGTGTCAGACTTTTATTTGGAGGCTTATGTTTTTTAGAAAGCACAGGTGTTTTTTAAACTTAGTCGTATTAAAGATTTCATACCTGAATCATTTGCAGCCATCATGAAACACAAGCTCTGGAGCAAGCTGAACAAAAGCTTAGACTTTTAAAATGACTCCTTACTACAATCACAGTCAGTTTCCCAGTGCTGTCACCTCCCTGTGCCCAAGGACAATATCCAGACCTTGTTTTCTGGACAATGTTTTACCCTTTTCTTATCTTGTCTTATCCTGGCCAAATACAAAACGAGTAACGTCTCTGCTCCCTCTGGAGCACGTGGCTAATCCCACAAGCAGAAGATGGGATTCCCTTGAGCTGCCTTTTTGTTTATGTGCTGTAGGCAATGCTGGGCAACAGTGTAATTGAATTATTCAAGGCCAGTTGAACTATGCTGCACCATTTCTGTGGACTGTGAGTACAGACAGAAGGTGGGAACGAGAGGCAAATTCTAAGCCAACTGTTCTCTTCCAGCAATCTTGTTCAGATGAGTATTAAAAAAGTTGGGAAGAACCAGTAACCAATTTTAGTGAGCACTAGAAAGCACAAGAAACTGCCAAATGTATCAGAGCATCCTCTGGCAGGAGGAAGAAGTTGTCCCTGGAGTGAGAAGGTTACGGGGAACACATGGAGGAGTACAGAGCAGAAACAGGACATATGCTGGACATATAAAAATATAGAATATTTTTAACAGCTCGAAGCACAGAGAATGAAGAAAATGAAGAATGGCAATGAAGAAAAGTTGGGTTGGGTCCCTCCCCAGTTAGCTAGTGTAGCTCTCAGTGTGTGCTATGGGGAACCAGTGGCTGTCTGAAATGAGTTTAGTGATTACAGCTCTTCTGTGGTAAGGAGGGGCAGGTGGGAGCCATGAGTCTGCATTTCTCTTCTGGATACATCCTACAGCCTTCACGCTGATCAGTGGCTAAGCAAGGGTGTGTGCAGTGTTTAATTTCAGAGTTGAATGTTCCCTTGGAAAAATTTCTTACCATACCATGGATTCCACTGGAAAGATTATCTACTTTTAGCACAACTAAAACAAGTGCTTGTAAGTAGGCTGTTGATTCACTTGATTTTATATCATTTTTCCAAGCAAGGCAATGATACTGGTCCTGTTCAAGTTTTGATGTATAAAGCTGACAATCTGGAGTGCCTCTTGTACCTCTAGGAACCTTGACAAAACTCAGGTGTCATCCAGTTCAGAAGTCCCCATTGCATCTTGAATGATCTTTCACCATCTGGGTGTAAGATCAGGTATGCTGGACTCACAGCCATCTCAGTAAGAAGTGTTTGTCATTTCTCGTTTTATAAGGCAAAGTGAATGGCATGGTGGCTTTACCTATGGAGACTGTGGTTATGGGTCAGTAAGTGTGGCAATACTCAGCCTCTGAAGCCTCCCCGCAACCAAAACCTCACCAAGTAAACCAAGTGCAGTTGGTTATAAATCAAGAGTGTGATGTGAAGCCTAATGTTTCCTGATTTTTCTCATCAGGCTTTTTGAATGGAAATTAATAATTATACAGGAAACTGCTCTGAAGTGATTAGTGTTCATCTGCTCATTCTTCATTCCTTTTTCTTCTGAGAATAAGGAGATCAAAGCCACTGATGGGAAACCATGAGCAAAAGCAGACATGAAGTTCATTTCTCCTTACAGAGATGAGCATTGTGGTGCGAGATGTTACAACCAGTGACTGTCTCCAGGGCCTGGAGTTTCTGCTGCCTGTCTGCTAAAGGCCAGATTGTTGTGCCCATCCCAGTCTGAGGGATGCAGCTGCTGCTTTCCCTTTTGCAGGCACAGGACCTCAACAGGAACAGTTGCACAGATGGCCAGAGACAAGGTGCTGCCTTCATCCCTGCCTCCTACATGTAGGACTCGCAGAAGACCCAAGTACAGACCAGCTGGTAGAGCTTGGTGCTTACAAGCGAATAACCCACCTCCCCAGCAGCCAGCCCCGGGCATCAGGCTGTGACCCATGGTCCGCTCCAGCTGCTGGCACTGAGCCCCTCATTCACCGTCAGGAGCCGGCACTTGCTCCTTACAGGCCCCACACATGCTGTGTGGAGAGTGGAGACTACACAGAGAGACACTTAAAGCTTCCATAAGAAGACAGGGTGAGCAAGCAGAGGGCTCTGTCAGACTTTACACATGACTGAACTCCGTTATACGTCTTTCTGTCTGATCTTCCTCCTTCCTGATCCCCTTCCTCTAATTATTCCTTTCAAAGTTTTGTCTACTTGTCTGGCCCTTATCAGTTACAAACTCCAGGTGACCCCATCCAAAGTTTCTTATGGAGCTCTTCAGTGGCCCATCAATCAGTAACCCGAGACTTTTGGGTTTTGGCATTTTCTCCCCTGTCCCTTGTCCACCAGCTTTGCAACTGTGGGTCCTTGTTTATCACATCCCTCTTTATTTATTGCCCCCTTTGTTTTGAAAAGGTCAGGTCCTCAGTCAGATAACTTTCACAAAGCAGATGCTCTTACCTTCCATGCACACTTAAAAGGCATACATACAAGAGTTTCGTCTCTAACTTGCCTACTTTCTGGTATTAAAGGCCAAGGTCTCTCAAGGTTACCAGAGACACAGTCCAGACCTCATTGTTTAGGATTTTCCTTTGGTCCCTCTGTTTTGTCAATATAAATGATTCATTTTACTACAACTTTAGTTTTATTTTTGAATATGAATCTTGCAAATACAATATTTGGCTTATACATATAATCCAGTCAAAATTATAAATTCAATGTCTTCATGCAAAATAAATCCCTGCCAAACTCCTGAAAGTTTTCTAAGGACAAACTAAGAACAGAGGCTGTGTAAAGTTCCTACTTAAAACATTTTTAATTTAATTTACTATAGTGGCTTTACAAGTAGGGATAAGGCATAGTTAGAAACATTCCTCCTTGCCAAGTTAGCTTTTATCTTGAAGTTCCTGTTCTGTGCAGATGTATGTATGATATAATGAAAAGCCCCAAAGCAACCATATAGAGAAGCATTGGAGTACTTTCCAGTGTTATATTTTGATGATAAATTGTGGGATTTGGTAGAAAGCCAAGTCGGATGGCAGTAAATAAATTATGCTGAGGGTCAGGGTAGACATACAGACCTCCTGGTAGAAAATTCTTTGTTATTTCCTCCAGAGGATGATACAAGTCTCAAATAATAAAATACGAAAAAGTCAGCTGCTTGGTAGGAAGTTTAGCTCAAACCTGCATCAGTCCTCAAATACACAGCAGTGGGTCCTTCCAGTGCTGCTTTCCCCACGCCCCGTCAGGGCATTAACTAGAGGTAGCGGCAATGAGGTTGTGTTACCTCGTGTGTCAGTTAAACGAGGCAATTCCAGCCTTCTTAATAGCAGCTTTGGGAGTGGATTAGGAGCGCACTGTGAAGAAACTGAATGTTCATTGCTCCCAGATTTGGGGAAAATTCAAAGCATTCCATGATCTCCTCCGATATGGCCTTTCTTTAGAAAGTGAAACGGAGTTTATTTCTGCAGCTGTGCCAGTCAAGAATTGCGAGACGAGCTTAAGGACCGAGACGAGCCTTTGCCAAGGAAGCGGCGACCCGAGTTCGCCCTCACCGGGCTCATTCCAAAGGAGGTGCGCCCGGGAGGGGAGAGGAGCGGCGGGAGGGCCCCCAGGAGGGTGGCACCTGCCCAACACCCGGCGCAGGCCGCGGCCAGGCTGCCAGCTCGCGGAATTCCCTGGACTTCGTGTTCTGAAAGCCCCCCGTGCTTCGGATTCTCCAGCGGGAAGACGGGGATTTTCCAGCGGGGGCCTTGTCCAGGTCCCCACCGGGTGTCCGAACACTCCGCCGCGGCCTGCCGGGGCCGTGCCGCGTTCTGGTCCCGCCCGCCGGGAGGGGCGGCCCCGGCTCGGCCCGGCCCGGCGCCTCCGCGGAGCGCGCGGCCCAGAGGCGCGGAGCGGCGCGGACTCCGAGGAGCTGCGGAGATGCTGAGCTCGCCCTGGGCGCGCTTCTACTCCAACAGCTGCTGCCTCTGCTGCCATGTCCGCACCGGCACCATCATCCTCGGCGTCTGGTACCTGGTAAGCGCCCCCGGCTCTCCCCGTCCCGCAGGGGTGGCCCCCACTCCGGGCGCTCGGCACCGGCTGCAGGGGCGGTCTGAGCGGGTACTCCGTGAAGGGCGATGCCCATCGCAGCAGCCCAGGCGGTTTTTGGAGGGAGTCATGTTGTTACAGCAGCGAAATGCGCAGGCAGCTCCGGCGCTTCCCGCCGCTGAGCCCCGGCTCGTCCTTCCGCGGGGCACAGCCTGGGATCTCGGCTCCGCCTAAACTGGGACATGAAGCATGTGCGTGTTTAGGGGTCAGCGGAGCGGGGGCAGGAGATACAGTGCACGGGCAGGCTCGACTGGATCTCAAGGAGAAAGCTGTTTAGGGGATGAAAATGTGGTGACTGAAGACCTCTGGAGGGAGGGGTGCTCCCCAGACTTCGGGGCGGTGTGTCTCATGCCGGGCAGGCTGCAGCACAGAGGCCCAGCCGGTGCGTGAGCTCCAGCAGGGCTGCACGGACCGCACCTCACAGAAAATCCTGTGTTTTCATCTCTGGTCGCTGCTTCGTGAGGCAGTCAGGTGTTCTCGTCAGTGCTGTCCCTTGTTTGGCAGGTAATCATTTATCAGTGGTGGTTTTGGTCTGCCTGGCAGAGACCTGAAACCTTCCAGGCAGCTGTTCTCAGGTACTAGAAAGACATCTTTCCTCTGCCAGGGTTATAGGACATGAGTGAGGAATTGACCCTGGAGGCTCCAGGGTTACCATCGGTAACCAGAGGCTGTTTGACACCCCGTTGCTCAGTCGGGGAAAAGACTCAGTGGGTTGGAGGCAAATTAAGCCCTCAATTCCTCCTCCCCTGTGTTTGACAGTTGTTTCTCCATCCCTTGGGTAGCAGTGCAGGAAAAGCAGCTTTCCCAGAGCTGGCCCTGCCGTAGTTACAGGATTTGCAGAATAAAAAGAGCTGGCTCGTCGCTGTAGATAACGTAGATGCACTTCTCAGCCTGCTCAGTCTCTTGGTGTGAGGAACTGGTCTCTGTCAGATGGCAAGGCTGTGCAGAGCTGTTTGCCAAGCATCATTTTCCAAATGATTGCAGACAGAAGCAGATTAGACCCAGGCTTATTTGCTCACTACAGAAATTCCCTGCAGAAGCAAATGAAAAACGCAGGGCTGGCCTCCCTTGTAGGACAGCTCATTACATAAATTCAACCAGTGTAATAAAAAAGCTGGGTTGACATTTATGTCCTAGAAGTCATATAAAATGGTCTGTGTCCTGTAAAATACATATTTCACCACTGAGAAAATGATGCATTAGTTGAATATTCCTTGTTCCTGGTTTAATAAAATATAATTAATTGCAATGTCCACAGCCTGTAGTATCTGCAATACTGACAGTATTATAAAAGATGCCTCTCTTTGACTGGCTGCAGTGAAGTTTCAGTAAGTTTTAGTATGACCTGAAAGCTTCTGAACGTTTCTTTGAAGTGGCTTGTTATTTCTTTCTGCCTTCAGCTGAATGAAGCCTTTTCATGTTGGCTCCACAAAGATAGGGATATAGGTATTTTAGCTGTTCAGACCTAAAGATATTTGAGGAAGAGGGAAGTGCATCACCTCTGATACAAAGAAAAACCTGACAGCCATTTAGACTCTGTTACCTAATGTGTTATTAACATTTAAATAGTAGTGCCCCAACTTCACATAGATTTTGCAGTAAAATATTGTTTTTAAATTTTCTTTTCTGATGGGTAGCATTTCCTGATTTACACGTCTTCTTGCTTTGCTTCTTTTGCTTTCATAAATTTTTCAGGGCAGATTTCTGAATTACTTCAAAACGATAATGTGTCAAGGTGCACATTTCTGTGCTTTCTCCCCTACTGCAAATATTTAGATTTCTAAATGTAACCATTAAGAATAGAGATTTAGATGCATGTTTATAATAAATACTAAACCTTTTGATAGCTTACAAAGTTAGGAAACAATAAGGAAGGGGTAGCTCCTTGAATAAATGGACTCGGTTGAAAGGTCTGGTTGATAAAGTCATACTCAAAAAAAATAGTTTTGTCTCAGAAGAACAATTATGATTTGGCACTATGTGCTATTGAGGGTTTACACAAAAATAGATGTCCTGGTGGCATTTTTTTCTCTGCATGCGTTTTGGATGGTTTCATTACTTCAAACTGTTGCCCGTAACAAAGACACAAACCAACAGAGTGCCGGTTTATGCCGTGCTTTATTCGGGGCCCCGGGAACCTGAGGACTAGCGTCCCAAGTCAGGATTCCAAAGACTTCCATTCTCAGTTCAGCTTTTATACACAAACAAGTTTACGTGCAGTTTCCACAGGAAAACAGTTACATTCAGTTACAAACAAGCTCATAGCAGTTTCTACAACAAAACAGTTACATTCAGTTACAAACAAGCTCATGCTTCATACTGATAACAATTGATAATCATCTACTCTAATCATAAATCTGCTTAAGTTGTCTTACCCCTAGAAACTGATTACCAGACCCTTACCACATCCAAGGTAACAAATCATTATATACATGCTTGACTAAATCCTTTGATTATTGTTGCCACTCTTCAGCACAGTCCATGCTCACAAACAAGGTTGCTAACTTACTACTTTGGAGTATTGCTTTCTGGGCCTACTCTCCTACTAAGCCTTAGCCATTCTACTACTAAATTCGAATTATTCTGCAACAAAACCACACATGAGCTATGAGCATTACCTCAACTTAAGTTCAAACAAAAATACTTCTGATTTTTTGCCACATCAGCCTGTATTCTGTATATGGTTTGCCATTATGCTTTACAGAAAATTACTTTAGGAGAAAACATTCCTCTAGAGATGGAATAATTTTCTTGTTGCTTTTCCAAATCTCACTACCTGTGAAGTGTAAGTTTCATTAATTCTATGACCATGAATGCAATGATTCAGTAGTAGAGGCACCTGAAAGAGGAAAAAACAGTAGCTTAAAAGTTTTGGCAGGCTTTTAAAATAGCATTTTCACATATTGAGCTGGTTTTGTGTTAGAATAATTTCAGAAGGCAGAATGTCATACCTGAAAAATGTGGAAAAAATAGTGAATTTCTCTAAGATGATGCTTTAGGTCTTTAGTTTTGATGTTTTAATTGAATGCTTCGGATCCTACAAATAGTGGAGAGAGTGGGAGCTGAGTGCAGGTGGAGTCATCAGTGCTACTGTTGAGAGCTCTTTCCACATAGGTAGGAACACTGCTTTTCCAACACAGGCAGAGCAGACATGGGCACTTACAGTGGTCTCATAAAGTATCAATAGCTGGGAAATAAATATTTAACTTTGCTCTATTTAGAACATAATAGATCTCAGAATGCTAATGTTTCTGTAGCTATTGTGTTTCAGTAGTGTCTTCCTGGTAGCGCCATCGGTACTGCATCTAGAGCAATATAACACAGCATTGAGTGGTATTGCAGTATAGCATACAGAATGCAATATACAGTCTGTCACAGAGCACTGAGATACTTCAGTGTAAAAAGTAACTTGTAAAGTTTGGAGCAGCCAGGGAAAATTTCCTGAAAAGAATATCTAATCGGGTTGCAGAAAAAACTGCGCCTCAGGAACTAGTGTGCTGCCTTGGGGAGAAAAGCTTAACAGGAGGTGCTGCAATGTTAAATACAAACGTTATGATGAAGATTTAAATGGCAGTAATATGACTGGCTGGGGGCTGATATTTATTTCAAACCTGAGGACCAGTTTGGTTCAGCTGGTTATTAATCTTTGGGGTTTCATCCCACTGTAATGGACTTTACACTTCTCTGTATCGTAACATAAAACCAGAGGTCACAATAATAACACAGAAATGTTTTGGGGTGCAGAAGTCTTAAAACTGTCGTATTTAAAAAAAAAAAAAGGAAATGAGAAAGTCGCTTCTGACAGCTTACTTTTGTCCCAGACAGCTGTATCACCGTGCTGATCAGGGCAGTGACAGTGCTGAAATGAGTTCTGATCTCCCCTGGAATCCAGGGGAAATCTGGCATTTCAGTCTGTTCCAAGTGGCCCAGTAAGTGCTGGTGACTCAGAGTAACACCCCATTCGGTGACAGCGTTTATAAACATTGCATGTCTTCTTCCTGAGGAAATGGATTCCACTTCCCTTGTCTAAAACACAAAGAAGAAGCAATGTCAGATGTGCCGACAGAGTCATGGAAGGATTTCCCACTCTCCTGGCAGTGGGGTTTCTGCAAACCCCAAGGATCCACCAACATCATCTGGGATAACAGGAATTATTTCTGATTGACTTGGGTGGGGAGAAGATGACATTGTAAGGTATCAGTCCAAGAAAATAAACATTTAAAAGAAGGAGCTTTCATTTTTGAGCTCAGTGTGCCCAGTGCCTCCTGCTACCTGCCTCCCTGCAGCAGTGCCCTGGACACAGGCTGCTCCTCCCGGTGGTCCCACAGTCCCCCTGGGAACCCCAGGTGCCATTGCCACGCCTGGGGAGCTGAGCCCTCCCTCTGCACTCCCTGAGGCCCTGACAGTGAGAGGCTAAAAATAAAAGCTGGCGGAAGCCTGAGAACCTTTTATAACCACAAGTTATCGAGCTGTGTGTCTCTCACTGAAGGATGTGCACTAAGAACATAAATAGAGTGAGCTGAAGTTTTTAGCCAGGGTGGCTTCAATATTTGAGCTGCTACTTGTGGAAAGCTCAGCATGAATTGCTGGTTGTGACATTTCAGTTCTGTATTTTTCTGAATATACTGTTGTATATTCAGCGTGTGTAATTTCTGTCTGTATCCCAGTCATTTTTTAATAAAAGGATTGAATTCTAATGGATGAAAAAATGTACTGGTAGTGGCTTCCTTATATTGTAAAGCAAAAGAGCACAGCTTGCTATGGTCTCATTGATCTACAGGTTGAACATCCTGCCAAGATCAGTAGTGTGCACTTGATCTGATGTCAAAAGGAGAATGAAGGTATATATTTTGTGACTGGGCCACATTTATTTCCTGGCCCTTTTAAAGCCTCATGAAAACAGCATGTATGGCAGCGTGCTTAAATAC